GAAACTAAAGAACTATTTTTTAAATATGGTAAAAATGCATATTCTATTTGGAATTATTTTAAACTAACTTCAGATATAAAATTCATTCTCTGCTACTTGTGTTCTAAAACCAAATACAGTATTAAAACTAATATTAGTATGATTCAATAGCATTTCAAAAGTAACTATAAATCTAAATATCATCAATTGCTTTAGTTGTCATCTTCATGAGCTATAAAATATTATAGTGTTCATGATAAAAAAAATAAAAAAACTAAATGGTCTTTTGGTTTGATGGATTGTCTGCAATTAACAACCATTTTATGTAATTAAAAATAAAAACCTTCATATGTTTGTTTTTGAACTTGATTTTCATTATAGGCTTCTTAGCAGGCAAACAATCTTAATTCATATCTGGAAACTATATAAAAGAGAACATAGCCAACTATGTAATTTTCTTAAAACTTTTGGGTATAAGGTGTCAATCACGACTAATACATAGTTCATATACACAAATCAAGCTTTTTTAGCAATCACATTGCACTGGATCAATAACAAGTGGAAGTTATACTGTATAATTTTAGATTTTATTCCTTTATATGAATGACATATAGGTGTTTTTTTAGCTAAAATGATTTTTAAAATAATTAAAGATTTTGAGTTAGAAGAAAAATTTTGTCAATGACTCTAACAATGTAAATAATATAGATGATTATAGTGAACATCTTATTAGTATATTAAAATATCACTATAACAATAATACTTTTTACAAGTGGCAGTATGCTGTCTATATACTTATACTTGCTGGCAAAATGGCAAAACCTGGACAAATTCAAAAAAACAATTGTTATTTATAAAAAATTGAATCAAAAAAATAGTATTAAAATTTTGCTAATATATTATATATAACTATAAGAATATCTGATATTAGTTTGAATAAGTATTATTAATTAAATTTTTGAGATATAAATTTGGCCAGAGTTTGGGATTTGGGCATGAACAAACTAATTTTATAATAGTTTAGGATTTTGCCAACAAGTATATATATACTTAACCTCACTGTTGTTAATAGTCTTTCTATAATTGATGAGTTAACAAAAAAAATATGAAATTTTGCAAGCCATATTTGTCACTTCTAAGTTTGCTTAGAAAAATTAAAAAAAATTTTCATAATAAAGAATTAACAATTTTTAATGCCTGAACTTGACTGTGAAACCTAGTGAAATTTACTATATCTAATGTTAAATAAATTATATAAAATAAAAAATATAACAGACATATTAGTAGTTTTAATGCCATAGCTTAAAAAACAATACATAACTGTTCAAGATTAGAATAATATTCAAACTCTAATAATACTATTAGAACCTATTTATGAAGTTACCAAATTACTTTCTTTGTCAACTCACTCAACTATTGAAGATGTATGCATGGTTTTTTTTGTAATTGTTACACATCTAACTAAAGCTAAAAGAGAAATAGATTCAACAAAATTATGAATATCTAAAAAGATTCTTGAAAAACTTGATAAATATTAAAACAAATTACAATCTTTCCTTTCAGAAATGATATTACTTAATCTATCGTTCAAATTTTCTACTTTTTATTCCAGTTATGAAAAAATTATATAAGTTAAATAATTAAATAAGACTTATAAAAACTATGCCTTTTTTAATAATAAAACAATTACTCAAGTTCTATTCTTAGATCAGTTAAGCTCAACTCATAATTACTTTCGAAATCAGTTAAAATAAACTTATAATGATATGTCTGTTAGTTGTAATATATTAGATAAATACTTGAATATGCCTAATAAAAATATAGATACTCTTACATTTTAGAAATCAATATCTTCAAATATAAAATGAGTACCTCTTGTTAAAATAATTCAGGACTACTTAGTTGTTTAGGCAATTAGTATTTTAAATAAATAAGTCTTTTTTTTTGCAAAACATACAATAAATGTTATACAAAATCAGTTAGAAAATAAAAAGGTTTATGCAAGTCTCTGTCTAAAAACATGATATAATGCAGAGATAATAAGAAATAATTTTGAAGTTTAAGATTAGTTTGCTAATATGTTGATATGTGTTTTTTTGTAATAGTTATTATATAATACAGTAAAGTTTTAATAAAGAGTATTATTAAACTACTAGGGTAGAACTAATTTTTAACAGGGAGGTAAACTTATTTTCAACTAGTTCTAAACTAGACCTTTTAGGAATTAGACTAAGACTGAACCAGATACACTACTTAATATCCCTATAAATTTGTAATAGTTAATAAATCTTATAATTTATATTTTTTAAAAAAATAAATAATAAGTAAAAGTTTATTTTAATTAGGTTTTTTAATTATATTTGAATATTGTAAATTAGAGTTTTTTTATCAAAAAGTTTACTATAATTTATTGAAAAATTTCTGAATATATATATAATGTTACTTATATAATTAATATAACTTAACATTTACTAATAAAAACAATTTTTTTTTAGATTTTACTTTTAAAAAAGCAATATATAATGATTAATAAAAGAAAACAGAAGTTGAAGAATGCAAACCAACTTAGTTTAATATTTGTTTTTGAAATTTGTTAATAATTATTGCAAAAGCAGTTTGTACTAGGAATTTTTTTTTTTAAATATTAGGATACTCAAAAATAAGCATAAGAAACCATCTTTTATGCTCTAACAAGAAGTTTTAGTTGAACAATTTTTCTACATAAATCCTCCTCTTGATCCTAACTTTGACTTTAACTCTAGCCTAGTGATTTGAACAAAAAAAAAATCCTCAATCGGTTAAGTGAACCGAATTATTTTATGTTAACCAGTTGAGATTCGAATTTTTAATTCATTCTACCAACCGGTTACCCGATTCTCGACCGGTTGTACCGGGTCAGTCGGTTAACCGATTATAGCTCAACCGGTTCAAATCACTACTCGTAATCTTTAAATTTTATGTCAGCTTCAATTAGAGGCTGAAACCGGTTTTAATAATTCGGGTTATCACGTGAATTTTGTGATATTTTAGAAATTTATCCAATTAAATTTTAATTCATGTAATAAACCCGAATTATTCAAACCGGTTCCAACCTCTAGTTTCTATTAACGTTAACATTTAATATATTATGTAAAATTAAATTTTGATATTTCAACATCATTTAGAATTCGAAACATGGATTATCTATAATACGAGTGGGTGTAATATTGGTGTTGGGTGGGGGTATTACTCTCACTCGTATTATAGATAATCCGAAATATTTCTACAAGCTTAAAATAATTTCGGCTAACAAGACTATGTAAAATTTAATGAAGAATAACAAACACGAAGAATAACAAGTCACAAACTATATTAATAAATTAATTTCGTATGGCAAAGCGTAACCAATAATTTAGGTTTTTAACCGCGCTGATCAAAGCAGAAGAATGAATAACATTTTTTTAAAGTTTACCATTCTTTTTTAGTGCATTATACAAAGTTAGGGCCGACAATGCCTTCATGTCGGGAATTTTCCATAGATCATCTAACTCTACCAATCCAACTGTAATGCTTTCTCCATGATCTCGTAATCCACAAAGTTTACCTTCTAAATTTTTAACCTCTTCGTGATCCATTTCCTTAATACACAAGCATAGTCTTAAGAATTCATCACAGCCACCTGGCGACGGATACGCTCCTCTGTATTTATCTCCATAGGCCAATTCGGTCAAATCAATAAGATCTTGATCTCTTATTTCAATTCCCGTTTCTTCTTTGATTTCTTCGCTAGCTTTTCCGGTGAAATTTCCAGATCCATCGAGCATTCCTATTTTAGAAGTGTACAAATTGTACGTCGAATGAAAATTTACGCGTTCGAGTCTTTTGAAACTATTACAAATATTTTTTAAATATACAATCGACAAATGATTTCAATAAATATACCTGCAGGTATTTCTGGGAAATTAAATGATGGGACGGGTAAACGTGGTTGATAGGTAATAACAACATGCTCCTTTAAAATTTGGTCATTTGGATCCTTGGATCGAAGGATTAATAGTATCGCGACTGCGCCTCCCCTCTAAATAAAACGATTGAATTGAGTTAGCAATTCAAGTTATAAATATGTATTTTGGTCATGCTTTATATTTATTTATAAGACAAAGAAAAAAAAAAAAAATTATAACCATAAAAACAATTCCAGGCACATTTCTTCCGTTTTCAACGAGCTTTGCATCTACTTTGAATTTAATAAATCCAATTTTTGGTCCAAAAAAGTCGACATTTTGAATTTCAATTTTGTTAATTTCGATTTCTTTATTATCTGCAGTAAGAACATTGTTGGATAAGGTAGAAAGCCACTCTTCAAAAGGTTTAAATTTAAGTACTGACGCGACTTCTATATTTTGTTGTGTTATGGTGATAGGAACGCTGGAGCCACCAATATCGATGGAGGTCTTAGTGCTAGACATTGAGCGGTAAATAAAATATGCAGTGGGGAATTTTCTATGTATAAACAAAGTGTTCCACGAATAGTGGAAGTTCAATGAAAGCTTACGAGCAAAACACGAGTAAAGGATTTTTTTATACATAATCTACATTCTAGTTCTAATTCTAAATTTAGGTGATTATTACAGTAGTAACAGTAATTAAAGTCAACTAAGCCCATTTAAGGGTAGGGTACATGTAGATCATTTGTCATATGATCTGCACAGTAAATTTAGATTTACATAGTAAATTCTCGGTGGTAGCATTCTAATTGGTTGATTATCATAATAAAAATCTGCTTTACGATTAAAGTCATATGACAAGTGATCTACGTGTACTCTACCTTTAACCAATTACTGAATTACAATTGATTGGCTATTTTCCGTGTAGCGAAGTATGCGCACAGTACGCACAGTCTCGTGATTGTACTAAGATGTGTACGTAAGAAATTACGCATACCCATGTCATAAATTGAGATCAAGTAAATCAAAAAAAATTTTGATTCTTGAATGATTATTTAATTTTTTTTTTTTGTGCCTTAACTTGTACTTTAACAAATGACTACTCTTGAAGACAAAGCTCTTTGGGGTCAAAACGAGGATGGCCTTGAAGATCTCGGACAAGAGATTTTGAAGTCCAGCACCGATGATATTATCAATCGCACGCGCTTACTTGAGAATGAAATTAAGGTTTTTAGCCATCGATAAATTTTTGTAAGAATGTTCGTAGAGATTTTTAATTACGCATTTTATGTCTCTTTGGTAAATAGTTGATGAAATCGGAGCATATGCGGTTGATGCATGAGCAGAATAGCAAGAAAGAACAGATAAAGGATAATAGAGAAAAAATAAAAGTCAACAAACAATTGCCATATCTTGTGGGGAATGTTGTCGAGGTATATATCTAAAAATAAGAGGGCAAAGCTCGGTTTATTGCGTTATAAATTCTTTAGTTTCTTCATAATCATTGATTCTTATGAATCTTTTATAATCTTATGTCAAACTTTTGTGCAGCTTAATCCTATAATTATCAATAATTTATAGAAATTGTACTCGTGGAGAAAGTTTTTACCCGGGCATTACCAAATTATCCGGTTAGCTGGATAATTTATTATAGCCATATTATAGCAATTTCTACCCGGGTACAATTCCTAATTCTTTACCCTATTTTTACATTATTTTATTTGCAATGCTCTATCTGAAAAATATTGAAAACAAACTAACATTTTTTACGTGTCGAATTCGTTATGATGATTCAGTTACTAGACATGGATCCAAATGATGAACCGGAAGAAGACGGTGCTAATGTCGATCTTGATGCACATCGAAAAGGAAAATGTGCTGTGATTAAAACTTCTACGCGACAGGTAAGGCCCAAATTGATCCCATTTGTTATTTCATTTTTTTACACTTGCTGTTTATAATAAAATTTAATTAAATTCCTATTGGGTTAGACAATTTTTTTGCCCTTAATTGGACTTGTTGATCCAGCTACTTTAAAACCGGGTGATTTAATCGGCGTTAACAAAGATAGTTATTTAGTTCTGGATACGTTACCTGCCGAGTAAGTCTTAATATTTTATCTAAGGCATTAATATGGTTCTCATGATGAAAATAACTCTGTTTCAGATATGATTCTCGTGTTAAAGCTATGGAAGTTGACGAAAAACCAACAGAAGATTATACTGACATTGGAGGCTTAGATAAACAAATTGAAGAATTGGTAGAGGCTATCGTTCTTCCTATGACACATGCCGATAGATTTAAAAATTTAGGCATCAAGCCACCGAAAGGTACAGGGAAAGTTTATATATAATTTGTTTCTATTCTGTCTATGAAGTTTTTTTTTTTTAAAAAAAAAAACAAAACTTAGGTGTTTTAATGTATGGACCACCTGGAACGGGTAAAACATTGTTGGCTAGGGCTTGTGCCGCTCAGACCAATTCTGCATATTTAAAACTAGCCGGACCGCAACTTGTTCAGGTAAATAGATAATAGTCCAATTGCTTAACTCCATCTAGGGTTTAGGGCACAGGTGTATGGGGGCGCCCATGGGCATGTTTCAAGTCCAGAGGGCATGCCCTTGTCATATGATGTTTAAAGTTATTTTGCAGGTAAAACCAGAACCATAGTTACTAAACCAAGATGCGAACTATGTTAGTCACAAGATTTAGAAAGGGCATGCCAATTTTCCCGTGCCCTAAACACTAACTCCATCGCAAATGGCCGAGATATTTTGTATTAATTATTAATTTAACTCAATATGTATTAATTAAGATGTTTATCGGTGATGGTGCCAAACTTGTACGTGACGCGTTTAACTTAGCAAAAGAAAAAGCTCCTTCTATTATTTTCATAGATGAATTGGACGCTATAGGAACTAAACGTTTTGATAGTGAAAAAAGTGGTGATCGAGAAGTACAACGAACAATGTTGGAATTATTAAATCAGCTTGATGGATTCAGCAGTGATGAAAGAATCAAGGTTTGTGTTACAATCGTTTTTATTATACACATTTTGTATCACAGGATTATAATCTGGAAGTTTAATTGTAGGTGATTGCCGCTACAAATCGTATTGATATTTTGGATCCAGCACTCTTGCGATCAGGACGTCTTGATCGAAAGATAGAGTTTCCACTTCCAAATGAAGAGGCACGTGCGCGTATTCTCCAAATTCATTCACGTAAAATGACCGTCGGTTCCGATGTCAATTACGAAGAATTAGCTCGTTGTTGTGATGAATTCAACGGTGCTCAATGTAAAGCTGTTTGCGTTGAGGCAGGTATGCTAGCTTTGAGGAGAAATGCAACCGAGTTGAATCATGAAGATTTTATGGACGGTGAGTTGAATAAATTAATTATACATATTCGGATGCATGCATGCATATACACGCAGCTGGAGACGTTCTAGTATTCTGCCAGCCAATCGGTTCTTTAGATAATTTTTTAGAATGACGCACTATACATACTGTATGCGAAAAAAATCCGACTTGCTATAAATGGAATATCTATACACTGCATATATATAAATATATATATATAATATATATTCACTATATATTTGTTTGGTTAACTATATAAATAGGGATTCAAGAAGTAATGGCAAAAAAGAAGACTTCTTTACAGTACTATGCCTAGATACAATGCTTACACTGAAAGAAAGAAGTAAACCTTTCTGTCTAATTTTATTAATAAAGGTGAATGCAAGGATTTCACCATAAATAAAACGTTAAAATAAATATCTATAAAATTCAAAATCTGTGTAACTTTAATAAGTCTTAATTATTGAATATCATTTACAAAAATGAAAGCTTAACAGAAGCAAGGTCTAAGCCCAGAGCGGTACTGTGTACAATTATTGTCAGCCGATATAGTTACATTTATAATGTTTGATGATTGGATGAATTTAACAGTAAAATTGCCTTTTTCGGTTTGGTCTTTAAGACAAGGAGTCACAGGTCATTCCACAAACACCATCTAAATTTGTGTTATAGAAATTTTTTTTATACTGTACGAAAAAAACACAAAGCTTTTTTGTTTGTATTATATTAAAGTGTCGTTTTGTGACTAATCAAGTACTTTATTTGTTTCCTCTTGGTACTGCTTTTTTTACTTTAATACATCAGCTTATTCTGTAAGTTGAATAAAAACTTTTAGAAATATCATTCTTTTTTATAATTATTTTCCAGTTATGCCTCATCACAATCCCCTTGAGATGTCTGCACCACCAACGAGGGCGAATTTGAAAGCATGGTGGAAACAATTCGCAGCAAAAAATGCGAGAAGAGAGGGTGAAAGGAAGGGTAAAGGTAATTTCTGGCGCATTGATGATAAACTACAACTTGTTAAATTATTGCACATTTGAAGTTTATTTCAAGTTGAAAGTGGAGAAATGAGAGTTTTTGTTTTTGGGGGTTTTTTTTATTGATTATATATTAACCAAAATTATAGGCTCTCGTGGAATTTTTGGCGTTGATCTCGCCGAAGGAATAGAGTATGCAAGAGTACCAATATGCATGGCAGGCCCAGACGGGAAACAATATATATATGGGTATATACCAACAATAGTTGCAAAATGCGGGATGTTTTTAAAAGAACAAGGTATTTATTTTCTCTCACGATTTAATTTTTTTTTATTGGATCAAATTTTCATTGGAGGCACATTGCTTCGCTAGGAATTAGGATTTTGGAAATTAAATCCTAAAAACCATGCCGGGGTAGATACTTTTGGTATTTCGAATTTTTTGGTTTGTATATTGTTTTGATCTCACACTTTATTTTTATTTTTTTTTGTTAAATTTAGCTACAACGACTGAAGGAATATTCCGTCTAAGTGGATCAGCTAAAAGGATAAAGGAATTGCAAACGATTTTTGATTCTCCACCAGTTTATGGAAAAAGTTTAACCTGGGTTGGCTATACTGTCCATGATGCTGCAAATGTACTAAGAAGGTATCTGAACCATTTGCCAGACAAAGTTATTCCACTTGTTTGGTATGATAAGTTTCGGGCTGTACATGGTAATAAAGCAAATATACATATATATATTGCAATAATTTGATTCCTACAATTGTTTTCAATATCTACATTTTAAATTATTGAATTATGTATATTGTTTTTCTTTTTTTGCAGTTGGCTATAAGGATGCAGGCGCCCTCGTGGAAAATTATCAGAAGCTGATCCAATCGCTTCCTAAAGAAAATCAGCATTTATTACTTTATATTCTCGATTTACTGGCAGTTTTCTCATCGAAGTCTTCACAAAACTTGATGCCATCAAAAAATCTGGCATCTATTTTCCAACCCGGTATCTTATCCCATCCAGATCACGATATGGAACCTGAACAATATAAGTTATCACAAGAAGTTGTGGAGTTTCTGATCGATTATCAAAATTATTTTTTGATGACTTTACCAAATGCTGGTCATGATTCTACTGTAAACGAGACTATGAGGACTCGAGATATACCACGAAATATTGATAGGGACACCGACACAGCGTCGCTTCGGGAGCCATACGACCTCAATAATGTGCCTGTTACGCAATTGTCGTTGCGGAGATCTAGTTTAACCATGGAACCTTCAAATGATGATGATATATCATTGCCAGAACGACGACCATCATACGATTCTAGAATACTAGGTCGTCAAGGATCTACAACTCTAGGAAGGAGTAGGACATTGCCCAGTAAAAGGTCTACGTACAGGGAAAGTCAAAACATAAAGGTTGCAGAAGGTGAAGATCCTAACGGTAATTTAATTATTCCATAGCTTTTCCTTTTTTTTGGGGGTGGGGCTTTATCAAATTTATTTAATTCGCATATATGTTACTCGTACATTATTGTATTTTGGATAGTAGTTTAAGAATGACTGGTTGTATGGGTGGATATATTTATGCTCAAGTCTCATTCTTCCCATTGCATTAAAGAAGCCATTATTATAGAGGTTTTGTTTTTAATGAGCGGAAGCAATATACCTATATCTACAGTTTTAAAATATTATTAATACTTTATAATATATTAGCTGTTCCTTATCTTTTTATTCTATGATTTATACTTTAATCACCCCAAATTCTTAACTTTTTGGGATGGTACAAATTCATTTGTTATGTATTTTAAATAAAATCAATTTCGTCTATATGCATTGGATCTTTCCACATATAATAATGTTATTTGTTTTCGATATTTATTTCATTTGTTTTTCTTACGAGTGTTTAAAACTTACAATTATCATATATTCTCACGGGTTTAATAATAGATAAGGGCAGATCTAAAACAAAAAAACACGGAGCCCGAAAAAGGTTCTCGCAATTCGGATCATTTATATTTTTTATTGATTCTTTTGGTTCTCGGTCTACACGACTCGAACGATTATCAAGGAAAGAATCAAATTTAAACCTCGGTTCACGACGATCGCCTATTAACGAATCATTTTGGTCATCCTCAGATGATCAAAGGTTTAAGGATGATCGATCAATAAATTCTTCAATATTATCGAGAAAACAAAATCATACTGAAAAAAGAAACATTGTTGAGAGAAGTCCAAAGAAAAAATGGTATTCTAGTATAATCAAGGCATAAGGCGTGGGTTAATATTGGTGATAAAATTGAGTTTTTGACAATGGTTTTTGAAATAATTTTTTTTTTTTTCTTAAAGAAAAAAATTAATATTTTATTTTCAAATTAAGTTACATAATTATGCATTTTTTAATACTGATAGTATACTTTTTAAGTAACTTATTCTTTATATAATTTTTTACAAGCAAACAAAATAATTACTATAATGTACAGAACATGCAACTTTTTGATATATAAGAATTCACATTTGGTTAGGTTAAAGTTGAGTAAACCGTTTAGTAAATATCCACCTTTAGATTTAAATATTTCGTTCCTTGTAATAATATGTATTATTAATGAGGATTCTTTTGTTCAAAGAATTTTAAAAAAGAAAAAAAAAAGAGAGTAGTGATTTTTAAATATATATATATATATGTGATTTTATATTTTAACTAAGATCAAATCTGTAAGTTCTCTAAAGATTTTAATTAATAAGCAAGTCAATTCAATCGTATAAATTATCATGTGACAATCACGATACCTTTATTTAAGTTATCGATATGTTTGTTGAATGCAATAATGTCAACCACTTCGCATACAAGTGACGATTCTTCCTCTATTAAGAAAACGGTTCCTATCAACAAAAATTTGCTTAATGAGTTAGAAGAACAAGCTCGTGGTATTGCTGATGATCTTGAAGCAATGTTTCAAAATTTAAAGTCTCAAATGTTTGAGGTTCGTCTTTTTCTCATTCTGATATAGTAATTTAAGTCTGAATTAATATATTTTTATTCAATCCTCGGCAATACAATGAATAAATTATTTGCGCATGTAAGTAGGCATCGGTCTTAACTTCTGCTTCATTTGATGTTTATAAACAAACTGTCGAGAATTATAGTACAGAAATTAAAGAAGCATCAAATAAAACCCGAGAACTAATAGAACTATGCGATCAATTAGATAAAGAATTTGTCGATATACAAACATTGGCAAGTAATATGTGTGTATATTATTTTTCTTTTTTTTTTCTTTGTTTTGCTAGAACTTCTGCTATGCATGATAATGAGACGCGTTATCTTAGGACGTTATTATTATTACACCTTCATATTGTTTAGTAAAAACATTAAACAGCAAGTTGACACACTTCATAGTGCCTGGATTAGAGTTTAGAACAGGATTATAGTAAACCGGGTCACCCGTGTCAAAATGGTTCAACCGGGTCAAAATTTACAACTCAGATCAAACCAGTTCTCTAAAATTTGTTACTCTTACACGGAAAACAAAATTTAACACATTATTATTATATTATTGGAAATGATAACCCTTTTTTTTTTTCTTACTAATGTTCAATCCCGCTAATCCGGATTTAAAAAAAAGTTACAAACTTTCGGAGGCTACCGTACGACTATCTATTGCGAAAATTTTGCTGAAAATTTTCCTTTGTGCAAGCCTTCATTATTATTTTTTTTGCTTTGCTAATATGTAATATACTGCGTGTTCGACACGTTAGTAGAGTGGGGTTCGGGTTATGTAACGTGATTGCGTTGCATGAATTGCGTGATCGTAGATTAATTAAAAAGTCTAATATATATGTGGTCATTAGTAGCAAACATAGTTAGCGAAAATATCTAGTAAAATTAGCAATCTAAAATTTATGAATTTATATTTTAAAAAACATTTCGCTAAAGTTATGGAAGTTAAAATATCTTTCATCATTTTTTTCAGTAAAAGTTCTCCATCTATTATATAATTTGAAAATGAAGGGCTTTAATTAATTCAATATTAATGTCTTGTTTATCAGTTACTTGAGTTTGAAATACAGCTAAATTAATTGATTTGATATGTATCCAGGTTCAGTGATCTGTTTTGTTTTTTGTAACCATTAGTTTTAAATATGAATCTTATTTTTTTTTTTGGTGTTAAGGTGAGGCCTTGATGAATCTTAATTATGTTATTTATAATCAACAAAACATTTGCAAAAAGTACAATAAAATTCCTTTCTTTTTATAAAAATTTTTGTTGCATTGAGAATATTTATTTATTTATTTTTTTTAAACTTAGCAGTGACTGCTGATTTTTATTTAATTCTAGTAAGTGAAGAAGGTCTTCATGCATATTTTTACAAAGTTATTTTATTACTTAATCTAGGCTATGTGAACCCAATATGGATTATTATCCTTTTTATAATTATCTTTAATGGCATTCATGTTATTCTGCTGCACACCTTGCACATTATGACCAAGGTTAACATTTGTAGTTAGGATTGTTGCCACTTTAGATGACATTGTCATTAAATTGCTTTGCTTGGTAAAAAGGTTCAAATCTTACAGCCTGTACCAACTCTCATATATATTAATTCTATTATTTTCAGTTAATACTTGTTCTTTGTTCTTTGCATTTCTTACTATATTATCTACAATGGTTTTCAAATTTGTATTTTCAAGTTAATGATCTTTATGATCTTTTATTTTTGATTTACTTGTTATTTATTTTTTTAAGTTATTTTGACAATAGTTTAGAATCTGTTATGAACATGTATCTCTAATTAAAATCTTGTTGTTATTATTAATTTTTTAATTCAGATACTGATAATATGTATTTCAAATTATGTTTTTATTATTACTGTTTTTGCATATTTTAGATCTTAACATTATTACAAGTACAAAGTATATATTATTTTGAAAATTATAAATAGTAATCTATTGTCATAATGACTTTTAAGATTAATCAATCATTTTAACTTTTATATTAACTTAATAGTAACAAAGATTATAATAAAATGAGTTGATTTTTTAGTTAAATCCAAAAAAGTTAAAGTTTAGTTACAAGGGTCTTGACTTGCATTTTATATGCAACTTGTATATTAAATGTGTTAGTTTTATACATTGTTACAGGGTTGCAGCCTTTTTGGTACAATACAACTAAGTAACAAGGTCACCTGATATAGTAATTGACTATTGCAAATATATATAAGATGGAGGTGTAATAGTTTACTTTACTACATAGTAACAGGCAATCAGTTTGAAATAGTAACAGTATATAAATTAACTTTTTATTAACAACAAACATAGTAACCAAACTTGTTTGTAGAAATTATCCTAAAAAAGAAATATCATACTTTATAATTAAAAGATCATTATGTTTGAATTAAAATATAAAAATTTAGAATTAGTAAAAAAAAAGAAAAGTACTCTTTATATATCTTTTTATCTAATAAGGATTTTAAAGATTTGAGTAATATTATTTGATACTGTATTCAGGATAATGAAAATTTGAACAACATTAGCTATTATTGTATTTGAAATAGTAGAGATTCAAACAATATTAAATAATACTATGTTTAAAATAGTGGAGATTATATAAAGAAAATTAGAAATATTGTTTATATTATTTGTTATTTGTACTTGAAACATTTGAGGCTTATGTTTAGACACTTGGATCTGTACAAAGGTACTTGAAATTTGTATAAGAATACTTAGGATTCATGTAAAAACATTTAAAGTTCATGTTAAGAATACTTAAGATTCTTGTACTGTGATATTTGATACAGTAATTTGATGCTAGTAAAATCCAAAAGCTTAAAAGAAAAGAAATTAAAGAAAACATTAAAAGAAAATATACAAAAATAAATAGAAAATAAAGAAAAATATTAGCAAACCTTTTAGACAAACTATATAGCAAAATCCAAATTAATAGGCTGCTTAAAAAAAAGAAAAAGATAATACAAGAAAATTAATTACAAAACTATTAGAGATATTAAAAAAGATGCAAGAACATTATTAAAATCAATTCAAATCTAGACAAATCAAATATAAAATATTCAAAAAGAATTAGAAAGAAATTTACAAGCCAAAAGAAACAATTTAAGCAGACTGATACAGAGAAGTGAATTAGAATATTTTAAAAAAAGAGTAGATAGAAATGCTAGCAAATCTAAAAAAAAACACAGTATTAGGAATATCAGAAATTATATATACATTAATACAAGTAGTAAAATCTAAAGTTTAAGATCTATTTAGAACATTTGTAAAGATTTATATTAAAACAAGAAAAGTATTAGTAAAGTGAAAAGTTTTACAAATATATTTAATATCAAAAAAAACAGATTAGCAATACAATTTAAGTAATATAAGACCAATTGCATTATTTAAAACCTTTCACAAATGTATAACAAAAGTTTTGACTAAAAGATTAATAAACATATTTTGCAAGAAAAGTATCTTAAAAAGCCTAAACTTTGCAGACCTATCAGAAAATTCAACAGAGGAGTCTGTTTATATTATGAATATAATAATAGAAGATGCAAAAGATAATAATAAGAAGTTCTGGTTGGTTCTTCAAGATATAAAAAAAGCATTTAATTTAGTATTATTTACAATATTAAAGCTAATAATAAAAAGAATTAAACTACTAAAAACAACAATTAAGCTAATTTTAAACTTATTTACAAATAGAGAATTAAAAGTTATTGTATATTGAAAGCACACAGAGGCATTTCAAATCTAGGATAGAATAAAACAAGATGAGGTCCTGTCATCTCTTATATGAAAAATATTTTATGATCTGCTATTAGAACAAATACAAAAAGATACTAGTCTAGGATATGTAGTATTAGTAAAGTTATTATATAACCAAAATCTTAATTATACATTAAAGATGAAATGAAGACAAGTCATAGTAACATTCACAGATGATATAACCTGAATAGCAAAAAGCAAAGAGCAAACAGAACAAACAATTAAAATCATAGTAGAGTTTTTCAAATTCAATGATATACAAATAAATAGAAAAATATTCAAATTATTAATTATAAACTCAAAAGAAACCAAAGAAAACAGAAGAATTAAACTTAGCAATGAATGAATATACAAAGAAGACAAAAGTAAAATAACAAGATTTCTAGGAATTTGGCTAAACAACAGATTAAAAAAAATAGTAATAAAGACAAAAGCAAGAGAATTAGTATGATCAACAGTAGAAAAATTAAGAGAAAAAAAAAAAACCATTGTGCAAGTGGCATATAT